CACCTTTTTTATAGAGGCCAGGTGTAGGCGGTGCAAAACTAACAGCTTTGTTATCAAGCTTTTACTCCTTACCTGTGGATTTCTACAGGTCCTCCAGAGGGACCGTGACCCTCATGGAGGTTTCTCGTCTTATTTCTGGTTTGTCTTCTTTACCAAACCGTTGTCACTTCCGCAAAAATGCTGGATTTACATTGCCATGAAAATAAGACAGTACTTTGTTTACCAATTAGGGGGCTATTAGAGGTAACAATTTTTTGGAGGTGTTTGTTTTACAAATATGCACAGCTTTTCTAGTGGCCTATCATGAATACACATAAAAAAAAAAAAACAAAGAAAATATTCATGAAATCTTACAAAAAGAGAAACGTTCAAAAGACAAACCTTACTGGAACAGTGCAGTGATTAGTGTGGTTTAATCTGCAGGACATGACGCTGTTGAAGTCCATGAAAAACCCTCCCCCAGCTGTCAAGCTGGTTATGGAGGCGATTTGCATTCTTAAAGGAGTCAAGCCAGATCGAGTGCCGGATTCCTCAGGTTCTGGTAGAATGGTGGAGGACTACTGGGGTCCGGCCAAAAAGCTTTTGGGAGATATAAGGTTTCTACAGAGCCTCCATGAATACAATAAGGACAACATTCCAGCAAACCTAATGGCCATCATCAACCAGAAGTACATCGATAACAAAGACTTTAAGCCAGAAAAGATCAGAGTTGCTTCTGCTGCAGCGGAGGGAATCTGTAGCTGGATCATCGCCATTTCCCATTATGACGTGTAAGTGTTTTTCTTTACCTTGGTTGATCTTTGGAAAATAAAACCATGCACCAAAAATATGTTCTTTATAACTTAAAGGTCATAGTTACGGCTTTTCATCAAAAGATACATTTTTTTAAAATATCACATCCACAGAACAGGAGTGGTGCAGAACAAAAGTATACATTTTATTAAAAAATAATAAAAAAACAATTGCTTTTAAAATTTCAACTGGTCCAAAATACATAAATATTCACTTCAGGTTACAATGACAACACCAGTGCCACGAGATTGTGCATCAATGAGTATGTTCATGTCAGATAGCACTTAGGCATTGCCAGATCCTTGTAGATCCATGATAGGCCTGAGGAATGTTTTCTTTTTGGTGTCAAATTTCTTAAATTCAAGACAAAAAACAAACCAAAAATAATCCAAACAAGGGTGAACATCATGTAAGTTTTTGGGCATTGCTGCCAACTTAATGGACGACAGTGGCGTCAGATGTAAGAGTTTACCCTGAAATTGAAAGGTTTACAGTTAAACCCCCGGCTCTGGCTTTCAGTGTTGTATTGTCCTTGGGCAAGAAACGTCACTTGCATTGTCTACTGATGGTGGTCAGAGGGCCCGGAGGCGAAATTTGCTCCTTTGTAATTATGAATAGGAATTTCTAAGGCAACGCAACACAAACTTTCAGTTCTTAGATGATAACAAATAAGATAATTATGCATTATATATTTCATTTCTGTAAGAAAATCCCCTTAAATTATTATACAATGGAGCTTTAAGGAAGGAAAGGGGCTCACAAGCCAAGCCCAGTGTCACCACCTGATCCGTACTTGTAACGCGATCATTTGCGCATAGACAACAAGAATACATTCTGGTCACCATCTATTGCTCTTCATGAAGCATTCCAATACAACTAATGCTCATAACTACAATATATGGCTGGGGTGTTAGTGACACTAAGAGTCAAAACAGTAAACAATATTTTCAAACTCAACATGTTGATTGTTTTATAGATTTTGCTAAAGCCAAACAGGACTTGTAAATACAGTCACAACATATAATTTTGTATAGCATTTCAAATGGAAATGGATCCCCCCATACCATCATCTGTGACATTTTATTACATAATGTGTATAATTTCTGCTATATATTATGAGTAATGCCCTTTCAACATTTGGACTGTGAGCTTACGAGTAGCCTGAACAAAATGAATAAAAAATAAAAATAAAATCAAAGAAGTGTCCTACCATGACTATGAAGCTGATCCCAGTGGGAAATTTGTCCCTAACTATATAGGGACAATGATAGCCATGCCAGTCAGAGACCTACTGCAGTTCTACTGTAAGGTGCCTTTGTCAAGGTCAATGACTGACGTACCTGACATGTAGCAACCATACCATGCATACTGCTTTAGGTCAGGCATCCCCAAACTCGGTTCTCAAGGCCCCCTGTCCTGCAGGTTTTAGAGGTTTCCTTGCTCCAGCACAGCTGATTTTAATTGAAAGCTGACTAACAGGCTTTTGGTGTTCTGCAATTATAACCATTAGGTTAATAAACTGCTTAAGGTTAATAAACTTTATTAATTAGACTATGTATGCTAAAAAAAGTGAATAAAAATCCACCATCCTCCTTCGTATTTTTAAACAACTAGACTACTGGTTATTGCACTGAGAGTGAAGAATATTGCACATGAGTGACAATAGGTAATATATTGGTGTTATACTGTATGTCCGCTGCTGTGATGCAGTTTTTGCCTCTACTATATAAATAGTAAAAATACCTAAAGGATTTAGACAGCAGAGAACTGTTTTAGTAACATGTTTAAACTGTAATGTTGCTGTTTATATCCGACTTAAATGGAATTCTGTAAATTCTCTCTTTTAAATGTACAAACAGTGCAATCAAGAAAGTGGCTCCAAAAAGGGCAAAGCTTAAAGTGGCTGAAGAAGAGCTGCGGGTTGCTATGGACGCCCTCCACATTAAGCAGGCTGCCCTCAAAGAAGTCCAAGAAAAGCTTGCAAAGCTCCAAGATACTTTAGAGAAAAATAAAATCAAAAAAGCTGATCTGGAGCAGCAGGTTTGTGATATCTCAGATTTTCATCCAACTGGTGTTGAGAAAGTTCTTTGAGAGTGTGATAATTAGTAACAAAATCACATTTGATTGTTTCTGTTGTGTTAAATACTAAAACAGGAAAACATGTATTCATCTGAAGTTATTTCTATGAGCTACAAAACTTTTACTTTGCGTTTATTTCCTGGCTTAAAGGTGGATCTGTGCAGTAAAAAACTAGATAGAGCTGAGCAGCTGATTGGAGGCTTGAGTGGAGAGAAGATCCGCTGGAGTGAGATGGCTCTCAGTCTGGAACAGCTCTTTGACAACCTGACTGGGGACATCCTCATATCAGCGGGCATCATGACTTACCTGGGAACCTTCACCTCCAAATACAGACAGGTAGAGGCAGCTTAGGTGTCCCTCTGATCGAGATCAACTCTAAAGATAAACACTTAAAATGTACGTCTAGGTACTTCTTAGTATTAGAGTTGAATGTTGTCTCCAGGATCAGGTGGAGAAATGGATCGATCTGTGTAGAAGCATAGAGATACCGTGTTCTTCCAACATGTCCCTCGTGAACTCGCTGGGTGACCCAGTAAAGATCCGGGAATGGACCGCCGCTGGCCTCCCTTCAGACAGCCTCTCTATAGACAACGCTATCATCATATCGTAAGTCCAGGAGATTCATTTTTTTCTTCAGTAAAAAAACTAATTACAAGTGGATTGAAAATCCTTTTCACCCCTTAAAGTTTTTTTCACATTTTGTCAGATTCCACCAACAAATTTCAGAGTATTTAATTAGCATTTTATGTCCTAGTGTAAAGGATCCCAAATATTTTAGTAACTCTCTAAAATACATGTATTT